GAGTCATCTCCTGATATATATTATACTATGTTCGTTACGATTGACCAGATTTCAGCTTTATTGGTAGAAACCGGAGTTTGATTTTAGTATTGGTAGTTCGATCGAAAACTTTATTGATGCGTTCATAAAGGCCACAAAAAACCAAAGTAGAAAGAAAGCATAAACAGCATTATTCAATTTGTAAAACCATAGCATAAGTAAAACATAAAAAAAAACTGATGATGATCTTGTCTTGGGGATAGAATTAGCCGCTCTTCTTGTCTTTGGCTTCATAATTAGACATTTTTTTCAATTCCTCTGACACTGCATTGTTTCTTCGTAAATAACTGGTGCAATGACTTGATTCTCTTCCTTAGAATGTTATCAAGATTCCAAACTTTCAAGGCTTCAAACGTTTCTGCTCCACAAACATTGTTTCCATCATCTCCGCATATCCCAAAGCCGTAAGTCTTTCCTACGATCTCCACAATCTCACTTGGTAATTCAGGATTTTCGATCTGTTAAATATAGTAAGATTGAAAGTAGTAAGAATCTCAGATGATATAAAATGTTCTTATAAAAACAGTATTAAGTAGTTGATAACCTTATTATAAGAACCATTTAAGAGTTTTGCTGCAGAGGCATTGATAATAGTATTTGCGGCTGCGTCTAGAAGCATTAAATTTGACTCACCTGTTAGATCTTGCACAAGCAATTTCAACTTGTACCTGAAAACAGTAATCACTAACATTGTTTTAGCATTACCCAATATAAAATAAGTAATAAATAAGTATATAGTACGATCAGATTTTGGAATAATCTAATTACCTTGGTGTAACTTTGGTAACAATACAACTGCAACCCTCACACCACCAGTCTGGTACGTCCAGATCATTAAATGAAATAGTCATTTTCGTAACCTCATGGTTGCATACCACACAAGCACAATAATACCATGAACAATCGGTACTAATTGCATAAACAGTACAAATAACACTGGAATATCCACTCTACAAAACGAAAATTCTATTAATATTGTGTATTACAAATAACAAATAGAAAAGAGAACCAAACCTTATCTGTTCGTTTAATTTGCTGAATGGTTTTGAATAGAAATTGAGACCATTTCTTGCGTTTCAGCTGGATCAGAAAATTGGCTTCTGTAGGTACGTAAATTACAGTAGACCTATTTTCGCCATGAAACCTAAAAGAGAATATAATGTAGGATTGAATGTTTTGTTTCCAAGCATGTAGAACCTTTACATGAACCAACCATGTGTTTTTCCATGGTTTCAAGTCGTGTAAAAGGACCACTTTATCATTAGAACCTCTTGATGGTTGGATTTGCATTTTAGTAGCTATAGTTTTGTTTACTTGTTTGTTCGAAGGTGTGGGTTGGAACATGAATAGGGTCCTGTCTATTTATATATAAAGCAGATTTAAGCGACGTGGTTAGGTTTTAGTAGAAACTTGGGGAGAAAGTTTGGGGATATTCTCTTTAGTATCGAATATTGATTAGGATTAGTATTTGGAAATCCATAAGTAAACTTGAACAGAATAGATTATTTTGTGTATAGAATATATTTTAGGATTAGTATTTGGCAAATTTGGAAAATATAATTAATTAGTTAGCAAATCTTTTGGTTTCTGTTTCTATACTTTTATTTGTACACATATATATATTTTCGTAATTTATTGTTGGTAACAATTAAAAAGAATATTCAATTATAGAGAATATTCAATGATATGTTAAGAATAAATTTTAGGATTAGTATTTGGCAAATTTGGAAAATATAATTAATTAGTTAGCAAATCTTTTGGTTTCTGTTTCTATACTTTTATTTCTACACATATATATTTTTCGTAATTTATTGTTGGTAACAATTAAAAAGAATATTCAATTACAGAGAATATTCAATGATATGTTAAGAATAAATATCCCGACAATTTATGAGGTTGAAAACCGAATTTGGTTATTGATATTGTTTTGTTCATGTGTAAATGTAATATGTTTTGAATAAATATCCCAAAAATATATGATTTTGAAAATAAATATAGATATTCGATATTGTTTGGTTCATGTGTAAAGGTGTTGTTCTTATGTATTTGGCAGGATCATGCAATGATTCTGGGAAGGATGATGTACAAAGCAAATATGAAACAAAATAGGGTTTAGGGTTTGATTAAAGTTTAGGGTATATGGTTACTAAATAGATTTGTAAATATCAATAGGGTTACTAAATAGGGTTTGAAGACATTTTGTTTTAAAAACAGAATTGTAAATATGAATTAAGCATAGATGTTCGAAGCCCATTTCGTTTGGGCTTGGCTGTTTGAAGTTATTTGTTATTTTCAGCCCACGATTTTGTTTAAAAAGGAAGTGAAATGGAATGTTTTGTAATTTCCTAGAAAGTTCAGGGGCAGAAACCAAAACAGTCATCTGCTTTAATAGTATAGACTAGATTTTGACCCGCGCTTTCAAAGCGCGGGTAATATACTGTTTAATTCTGAGTATCCGGATCCTCGAGTCGGGTCTGGATCGGGTTTTGTCGGGTCCATATTTTTTGGGTCTTAGAAATTTGGACCCATATAAGTATCTATAATTTTTTGGGTCGATTTCGGATCGGGTCTTGTCAGGTTTGTTGGTTCGGGTATATTATCGGGTCGGTTCAGGTATTTAGGACCCGAAAAGGATCCGAAGGATCCAAACTGGATCCCAAAACCCGAAAATTCTAAAAAGACACGAAGAACCGCAAAAAAATCCGAAATATTATCCAAAATCAGACCCAAAAAATCTAAAATATACCCGGAATTTTATCCGATACCCGAATTATATTTTTTGAAATCTAAAAGTTTACCTAAAACCTAATATTATATTCGAAAATCCAAGTCTGGAACTTTAAAAAATACCTGAATTATCAAAAATATACCCAATCACCTAAATATACCTAATATATACCATAATTTGTGGATACTTTGAATACCCGATCGGGTTTCTAGTAGGACCCAGACGAACCGAGACCTGCGGATCCAAACAAAAAATACCCAACAAATACTCTAGCAATGATCCGAACCCGGACCTGGATCTGTATTTTCGTGTCGGTTCTTGTTCGGGTCTGTGTCAAATACTCGGACCTACTTCTGTTGATAAATTTGTAAACTTACAAATATATAATTTTTTGTATAGATTTGAAGCCCATTTCGTTGTAAATAAATGTTAAAATTATTGGGCTTTTAATTGGCGATTTTCAATTGGGCTTTTAATGGATAATTTTCATTAAAAATAAAAGAAAGTGGAATGTTTTGTAATTTCCTTAAAAAATCAGGGGCAGATTCATAAGCAGTCATCTGCTTTAATAGTATAGATACTTCTAACAACAATGTGCTTAGAGTTTTACCTTTAATTTTTATGTTTTTATTCTTAAAATTGTTCTGAATATAAGCACTTAATTATTTTATTTTATATCTGAATTTACAGTATAATTGTATTTTTAATCAAGTTTTTTTTACTAAACAAATTTTTATTTTTAATTCATTTAAAAATATTATATCTAAGATTATTTTGAACATATTTTGTTAAATTAGTCATTTTAATCGATATGAAAAATTATAATATTTTGTTGTAAAGAAAATAAGACAAAAACATCAATTCTTAGTTAAGATATTTTTAAGTAAGCAATTTTAATTTTCAACTTATAAATTAGGATAAAAAATCTCATACTTTCTTTGACCAAGCCATTTTAGGCTCATTAAAAGTCAATCGTTAAATATAACTAACGGAACTAAACGGTTGAATTTTGACGAGACTAAAATGACTTGGTCAACAAAAGTATGAGATTTAATCGTGTTTGATTAGAAGTTGAAGGTTAAAATGGTGTGTTTGTGAGTTGAAGATTTTTCTGGCTTATTTTCAAAAGTTGAGGGTTATTTTATCAATTTTCCCAAATGGAAAATTTTTGGGCCTAATTAGTTCACAGGTCTGAACTACAATTTAAACAATTTATATTTAAAAACTTATAATAATGCATAGCTTTTTTTAACGCTGAATTGTATTATTAAGCCATTTATGCAAATAGTTCTTAACAATGAAAACTAGGACAACAAACACAGAAAACGGATATACCAGTAGGGATAAGTAAACTAACACATCTTTGCAAATGGATAACTAAAGATTTTCATGTAAAAAATCCAAATTTGGTTTTAGAATAGTTGAATCCCAAAAGAAATAATTTTCGTCTTAATCCAGAAACACCACGCTTCAGACGTATCTGAGAACAATTGCTACTCTCTTTTTATTACTTTAATAGGGTTCAATGAGAGAAGACAACTCTTTATATTGCTCTGATAATAACATAGTCAAAGATATTACCGTTTCATAGAACGTTTTGCTGACTTTCGAAATAACCATAGTTTGCAGCAAGAACTCCATCACCATTAAGTGAAGAACCATCAACGATTGAAGCCAGTAAGATCTGTCGCCACCATCTGCATTAGATCTGTCAATTACCTTTTCTAAACGATTCAATTGAACCAAAATTTTTTTTTTCCAAATCCATTAGAAGAATCGTTTAAAGGAACAATTCAAAGTTTTGCCATTCAAAATAAATTGGCAAACAAACAAATCAAAATAATCAGAAAAAAAAAGAAACCAAAGAAATAAAAACAAAACGAATTAAACAAGCTGATGTCGGAGCTATAGAAACCTCCGACCATTGGTTTCAAACTAGAAAAAAAACTCTCGTTTTTCTGTCTTGTGACGACTAGGGTTTTCTCCGTTATCCATAATAGTGCATAGCTATATGATGCATATTCAAACTTTTTCTGTGTGCACCATTTCAGAACTTTATTAACTAATGTCACAATCACCAACTCGGGCCTGAGGTATATTGATCGGTATGTCATATGTGAATGGTTCCAGGGTGTACGTTGTTTGTCAGAATGGAGCATCAATCGCCTAAGCGGTTCAGCTTATATCACAGACGTTAGAGATATTAATGTCATACAGTCAACACACTACAATAAGTGGAAAAATGGTTGCCTTTAAAATGTGTTACATTTACTTTACACAAGGAAAAAGACATCGAGTCTAACCTCATCCTATCTTCCTTTATAAATAACTTACTACTCACGTTTCAGGACCCATCACAACTGAAAAGTCGAACCCTTGAAACTATGCCAGACGACATGCGGCATGTAATTGTCTCCAAAGTTGGTGCTATCTCATCCATCGATTACTACAACACCATCATCTCTTGCAAGGCACTCAACTTCACATCTCATCCATCGATTATTACAACACCATCATCTCTTGCAAGGCACTCAACTTCACATCTGACGACTACTTTGTCGTCTTCCTTGAGGGCCAACAACATTGAAGCCCATTACATCAAAGGTATTGTTGAATACTTTCGTACTGAAAATAAATTCTTAGGTCTGCACCACCTCCAACTCACCCTGGCCACAATAAAGGAACATATCTTTGTGTTGTTATCCAGATGTGCTTGGCATGACTGAAAAAAGCAAGAAAATTTCCACTAAATTCACTGATAAAGAATGCATTACCATTGTTGCATGGACAAACATCCAACCCGTTCAATTTTATTCTCCTAAATATTTTGCACTATATTCCTAGCCCGGTAAGGTCCAACAAACACTTTCATCTACCATCTGCATTTTTCAGATATGTTACAGCCAATTTCAAATTTTCAAAAACAAAAAATCTCCTAAGATTGGGAATATAATCACTATCCGAAGCACACTTGATTTTAATTCCGAGGCTTATTCACAACAGGTTGTATTAGCCCTTTGGGCATTATTTTCAATCAATGAATTGAAATACCGACAAAACTATCTTAAGTAGGTCCATTGACTAAGACAAATAACTAATGTGATGTGACGTTCAAACCGACGGAAGTGTAATGCAAGTTATTTAACTCCGCTTTCATTTCGGCTAGTTTCTGTTTGGACTGGACTGGAACTTGAATTTCACTTTTTTGAAAGGCAAATAGCTCAACTAAAGAAAATATAAATGGCAAGCACTTTACTGGAAGAAGAGGTATGCATGATGTCTTTTATCATGAAGAATCAATCATTCACAAGCTGAATAGCACTTGCCTTTTCTTTTTCTTTTTTTATTCAGACGAATCAATACACGATAAGATGCCCTGTTTTTATTTTTCAGTAGAGAGCTCTCTTTAAATCTTGCTTCCTGCCAGAAATCGGCTATAGAAATCCAAAGCCTCCCGAGGTTTGTACTCAGGAACCGTATGTCCTGCACCCTGAAATTACCCACACAAGGATTTAAAAACAGTCCTTAGAATATAAACAACTTTTTTTCCAGTTTGAATAGAGAGTTGTGCTTCCATGCCTTGATGGTTAAAAATGTGAGATTGTTTGCATATCCTTGGGTATACCTGCAAAAGAATATGCATGAATTGTAGAAAACATGGAGAGCTCCATAAAAAGATCACTACAGTAAGAAAATATTACCCCGCGACTTGGTCATTTGATATCCATGCCCTCCATTCATCAATCACCTTGTATCCAAGAGAATGTGTCCAGGCCTCAGAGCCAGTAAATGGAACACACATATCGTGATCACCGCTTCATATCAAAAACTTGATTCATTATTTTGGAAACTAAAGGCTTTCTTCAGATCATTGTTATAAGTACCTGTAAATGAGAGCTCTATATCCATTTAGAGTAAGGTTTCTATGGAAGCTGATCATACTTCCTGCATCGTGATGGAATGAGAGCTTTCCAGTGCAGAGTGCCCATCTTCCAATCTCGTTCTCCTGTAGAGAATTTTCCACTAACTACATCAGTGATCAGTACTCTTACTATATAGCAATAGGATCAAAACAGAGTTAATTTGAGACCTCTTTAGTATGAATAGCTTTCCTGATCGCTGGATCGTTTAGCCAAGCTGTTGCAACTCTGTCATTCTGGAATTATAAAACGGTAGACGGTTTCATTTTATACTACGAAGTAGTAAGAGAGAGAAAGAGGCGCTGTTTTTTTTTTTTTTCTTGTTTACTTACGATGCAAGGAACAGAGACGTCAGCAAGGAGTTGAGACCAGCTAGGAACAATGCCTGGACGAATAGGCGCACGAACAGGCCACGCTCGACCAAACATTCTTTTTCTTACAGCCAAAGGCTTCTCGGTTTTGCCTAACTGAAGAAAACTTGACGGCAGCGATTTTATGTCAAATGCGGATAGCGATGTTCCATGGTAACATGGCTCAAGAATGTTGTATATGTTCAACCTTTCAATATCCTGGAAAAATAATATATATAACTAATGATCTAACAATATTCTCAATGTCTTAATGTTAACATCTTATATTTACCATTGAAACTTTCGCCAACTGTTCATCGCAATCAGGTCCAACTTCGTCATAGAAATTTCCATTGCAAACTTTCGTAACGTTCTACGGGTTTTCTTGTTAGGTGTTAGATGATATATTATATTAACCAGCAAAAAAAGAAGTGGAAGAGTGAGTAAGAAACCATTGAGCAAACCTCAAAGAGCTGATCAGAGATTAGTCCCATCCCGTGTGCAAACGGGACAAGAGCGTTTCCGTCATACATGGAATCTGCAACTCCATTTCCAACCAAATATCCCTGTACCAAACACAAGGACAGGTCATCCAATATATCCTTGTATAAAACCAAACGACAATTTCATGAAAACTGAATCTTGACTCGCTTATTATATCGTTACCTTTAAATTAAGAGCCGGCTTTAACCCCTCTTTGTTCCCTGCAACATAACCAAATAAAATGGAGGAAAAAAGCTCAGGAAGGTGTGTATAGTTGATTTACGTGTTTATATATGAAAGGGTACATTACCTCTGTGAACTTCTAAAGCAAGAGTTGGGACGTAAACTCCAGCATAAGATTCTCCAGAGATGTAAAAGGGATTCGACTGAAACTCGGGAAACATCTGGAACCACTGGTGAGTAACATTCGGAAGAAGCATTTAGTGATCTGAATAACACCCAAAAGCTTAGGGTGTAGGTTATTCAAAGATATTTTTTTTTTAAATAACGTTATTCAAAGATGTAAATTTCTATCTAAAGAATTCTAATTTCTGCAAGAACTCTTTTGATTACTTTTTTTTTGAATATCTTTTGGATTTTGCTAAGCTAATTTGTTATTTTTAAAATAATTCCATTAGTTCTTAGAGTTTTCATGGTAATTTTGAGCGAAAAGATTCGTTTAAGCTCTCATTTGGATAGCATCAATTAAAATCTTATAAAGCTACGATAATATATATATCTTTTTCTTTTCCAGTAGAAAAATTAATTAAAAGGAGCTCTTTTTGAAACACTAAAAATGAGCTCTTTAAGAATCCATTAGATACAGTATATAGTTTATGAATTCATTGGAATTGTGTTTAATCGTTGAATGTAAACATTCGTTTATTTTACCTTGAGAAGGAACGCGTGAGAGTCAACCGCGGTTTTTATATCACCGGTTATGTAGTCAGATTCGTTCTTTGAATAAGAGAATCCCACACCAACAGGTGAATCAAGGTATATCATGTTAGACACCTGATAATGAAAACAAATCGTACTATGAAAACATTATTTACAACTATGGAAAAGAAATAGTAGTAGTTATTGATACGGTATCTAAACTTTAAAAATTTACCTTTGACCAACTATAAGGATTAAGATGCAGGAGTGGGAGACTATTGTTTGTCTTTGCTGGTTCGAAATTGAAAGGACCATGCTCGTACACAAATCCATCCATGCTTGAGCAACCTGGACCACCATTGAGCCAGAGTACGACCGGATCTTTCAAAGGATTCATCTCTGATTCAACAAAGTAATACCACAGATTCTTCCCATGCTCCTCATCAATTGTCACGTACCTTGAGAATCAAAACCAAAGAATAACATAGAAACTCGAAAATGCAAAAAAAAAAAAGAATGAACATAATTTAATCTACAAAAATTCAAAATTTAAGAGAACTCAATTTTCGCCATTGTACACGTTTCAATGACGTTACTCGAGTTTTCAGCCTATGATCTATTCACCTCCAAAGAAAGAAAACAGAGAACTCATTTTTTACCCGGAGTAGTGTTTTGAAGGAAAAGTGCCACTGAAGCCAGGAAGTTTGGTAATAAGAGCAGATTCAGGGGCTGATTCTGTTGTTATTACAAACACTAAAAGTAGTGTCACAAAGGCAATAACTTTCACTAAGAAACTCATTGTGATCAACAACATAAACTCAGAACTTGAGAATTGTGGTTTTGCTTTATATAGAACAACAAGATAGAAAAAAAAGAGCTAGAGATATTCGGGTAAGTTAGACAAATAATTTAGAAAAAAATATTGATGATTTTTTTCTGGGAAAAGAGACAAAAGAGATGATGTGGAGAAAGATGATTATAAGAAGAAAAATGGTAGAAACATAGGATCTGGTATGTACATATGTTATTCTGCAAGCTACAGTTTCCTTAAAAGGCACGATTATGATATTTGAGCATCTCTATAAAGATATGTATGCAGTATGTATACACATGTATGTATGTATCCACATAGTTGCACAAGAAAATTGAGTGGAGGCAGAGAAGCGAGAGTTGACTTGGGGACCGCCTTCATAATAAATTAACAAACGGTTACTTCAAGTGACGACAAGCCTACAGAACAGTGACACGAGACTAGAATACAAGAACTCTTTTTGTGACTATCGTTTTTTCTTGAAAATAAAAATTAGAGAAGAACTTCAAATATGAATTAACTTCCAGACTCCGATTATTAAATTCTTTAGTAAACACAGAAGGGTTAGATAGAAGATAAACTTTGTAACCCTTCATTGCTAATAATTTAAACCTATAAAATAGGTTCTAAGTGGAATACAAATTAACTGAAGAGTACATTCAGGTCTGCTTTGATTTTATTTTCTAAAAAGTGGAATTTCAATATATACTTTAAACATTATTTATGAAGTGATATTATAAATTTTGCTTAAAGATAATGATATATTTTTGTAAAAAATGTGATGCATCTTCCATCTTATATACATCTATAGTTAAAAAAATATCTATAATTTTAATGGTAAAGATTGTAATTTAGAATCTTAAAATAAGATAATAACAAAAATTAGATTCATACCGTGAACATACATGCTTAGAAAGAAATAATGACAAAATTTAGTTACATATCATAAATGTGAATCATATACAAATTACTATTTATACTCTTAGCATATAAACCAAAAATAATTATCCTGTCAAATTAATATTCCGTCAAAATAATTGTAAATATATTATCTAAACTATTATTTGCGAAATATTTTTTCGCATTAAAACTTCCACGTTAAGAGTTAAACTGGTTAATATCGTTTATACCATTAATGAATCAAATATTAAAATTACCCAAAAATTTAAAATAAATTTAAATTATATTTGATTAGATAAGTGATTATAATTAATAATAGTAAGAATAATCCAAAATTGTAAAAATATATTTTAAAATGAAAATTAATTCCTATATAGATCGTG